ACAGGTAACGAGTGGAGGACAGAGGAGCCTCTTAAAGAAGAACTTACAGGTCTGTGAGAGCCAGAAATCTTGCTTGTTTGTAGGTGACCAAATACTTATTTTCCACCATAATTTGCAAATAAATTCATTAAAAATCCTACAATGTGATTTTCTGGAATTTATTTTCTCATTTTGTCTGTCATAGTTGACGTCTACCTATGATGAAAATTACAGGCCTCTCTCATCTTTTTAAGTGGGAGAACATGCACAATTGGTGGCTGACTAAATACTTTTTTTCCCCACTGTATATAAAATTCTTGCTACCAATAGAATGGATACAATCTTCCCAGCTCTGCAGATTTGGCTGTGAAGAGACAGAATCATTATATCATTTGTTTTGATACTGTCCATTTGTAGCTTGTTTCTGGACACAGGTCCAGGAATGGCTGAAGGATTGCAATATTTGCATGGAGCTGACCCTGCAGATAGCACTACTGGGTGATCTGAAAAGTCATAGTCAATCGATCAATAATATAATAATACTTTTAGCAAAAATGTTTATTTTCATTTCACAAACTGTAGAAACATTGAGAATAGAAAGGTTCAGAACTTTTGTAAAACATCACAGTACAGTTGAAAAATATATGGCAAATAGAAATCCAATATGGATGGTGTTAAGAGATAGATGGGAGGTGTTGAATGGAGCTGAAGGATGGGACTAATAACAACAACTACTAACAACAAGATAACTAGTGTAAGATATGCTGTGTCCATAATAAGTATATAGGTTATATATTGTGAGCTTTTGTGAAAGAGCACAGTTAGAAAGATATGGCATATAGAAGCATACCAGATGGACATCATGAAAATGATCGGAGGAAGTTCAGGAGTAAAAACAAACAAAATATAATTATTGACTGTGTCCATAAAATGTATATAGTATGTATGAGCATAAAGTAGAGGCCTAAGCGTTGTTGTTCGCTAGTTTACTCCAATTGGGGACGGGATGGTGGGGTTGGAAGGTAATAAAGGGAAATATATATATTTTTAAAGGATATGTATGTATATATATGTATGTATATATATATATGCGAGGGGGGAAAAAAACATATGGGGGATTGGAAGTGATGCAGACAATTACATTGATGGAAGTTACAATCTATCTGCAATATTAAAGCTGATCCCCCCCCCCCCCCCCCCCCCCCCCAAAAAAAAAGGGCCACTGTTTTCCCACTTGCTTTACGGACTTGTCCCACAACTGCCTCCACTTCTTATGGCAAGTGTCCCCTTCCATCGCCATTACCTCCCCGATCTCTTTCTCCCTCATTTCTGTGTCTTTGAAATCCCTACACGAGGTATCATAAAGATGTTTATATTTGCAAACTTGTTCTGATAGCCTTTCGTCAAAGTTCTCCATATTTGTTGTCATGGAAGTTGTCAAGGAAGTGAGTTTGTGTTTATACAGGACCTACTGCCCCCACCTACCATCAACCAATCATGTAAATGCGGAGCTATACGGAGCCCTCCACATTGTTATAAAATTTGGGAGGTGCATGGCATCACCGTTCAGAGCTTGATTTGGCCTCCGCAAGCCTCCGGAGGCTCCTCAATTGCGTCATACTGTCTGTACGGAGCCTCCGCACCACATTGCCGGATCAAGCATAAATCGGCCCTTTCCCTCCCCCCTCTCCTGCCATATGTTGCGCCACTGTGACCAGCTGACTTGTCAGCTCGACTAACGCCTTAGTGGCGGCTGACTGATTTATTTCCTCTGAAATCTGGGGCAATAATACAGAATGACATTATTTGTTTATCAAATCTAATGCTGCTTTCTTGGTGGAGTTGTGACGTTGAAGCGACTCACCTCCCCTCTCCTAGCATGGTTTCCCCTCCGTTTCTGATTGTGCTTTGATTAGACAAAGCAGCACAATTAAATTGTCAAGGCGCGGATTTAACCCCGAGCAATTCGCAGGCCAATTTATTAAGAAATGTTTTCTGTCTGTGTAGACTGACTTTTTTTAAAATTTCTCCCCTTATTTGCGGAGAGAGTCTAAACAGTACTTTCAATAACATATGACCCATTTAGAATGAGAGGATTTTTTTTCTTCTCCCTGAGTGGCTGTTGTAACGGTCTTTCATTTTAAGATAACAGCAGTGCACGATTGTCTGTATAAAATTCACCTCTCTCTTATTGAATGATCAGGTTTCCAATTGTGGAAACTTTTAGAGTGTTTTTTTTATTCCCCACCTTCAAAGATGTAAAGATGCACTTGAAATGTGATCCCTGGCGCATTGCTTGGAGGCTTCAAATCTTCAAGAAGCAATTAGTCCATTTAATTTGGCTATTTGCCTCGAAGTTCAAAAGTGTATGTTTATTTTTTTAAACACACACACCCCATTATCAGTGGCATGAATAATATCGCTGGAACACAATGGCTCGGCGGAACTCAATAAAATAGTTAAAGCAAGGACGATTTCAAAGACAGCCTGTCTGATAACAAAGGACCTCACCTGATAATGACTGGTGTGCTGCCTTTTTTTTCTGAGGCAGGGGAGGGAAGGAGGGAGGTGGGAGAGAGATGGAATGGTCCTGCCGGCGCTTGCCAGCATGCTTTATGGCTAATTGAAGTGCTTGGAGTAAAACAGCCATGAATGGCACCCTTTAGAATTGAAGCGGGTTAATATATCGTGATCCCACAATTAGCCTTGGATTGTTAAGATCTCTTTAATTCAGTGAGGTCCATTAACCAGGATGGGAGAGATGGTGCTCCCACCGAGGCCATTTCTTTTTCTTTTCTTCTGCCACCCCCATTTCATTCTCTCAACAGCTGCTGTGGTAATCGATAAAAGAGGACTCGGCTGTCAGTGGGTTGCCAGGTTAGCCCCGATGGCCTCCCCCCTTTGCGGTTGAATATCTCAACCCAATCGGTCCAAGTGAAAGATTTCTCCCAAGAGGGTGCTTTTGGCTGGTGAAGAGTCAAGGGGTAGTGGATTGACTTTGGTCCAGTGAAGCGGTGAGAGGATGGTCTTAAGCTAGCATGGCAAAGCTGGGCTTTGCTGGACAGGGGCTCTCTCAAGAGGAGAACCACTTTCTCAGGTCTCCTTTTTCCCCCCAGCCCCTGAAAATCCCCTGACTGGCCTGGGACTCTCACCAGCCGGAGCTTTAGCAAGGCCTGTAGCATGACCGTCACAACTTGAGCTTTTACAAGTGTCCCTTTCACAGCATTACAGTCCCCCAGGGGGTTATCTTGTGGGACACGGCCTACCTCTCAAGTTTAGCAATACTTTTTCTAACTCGACCAGAGCCTTGTAAAAATTCCTGATACTACTCCCTTCCGATGAGGCTCGGTGGCCTTTTGAACTTCTACTGGCACTAGGTCAGACAGTGGTCTTGATTTCGCACGCAAAGCATATGCATACTGGAAAAGACTTTCGACTGGAAAGGAGGTAAAAATAAAACGCCACCCAAGCCTTCAGTGAAATGTTGTTTAAGTTGAATCCAAACAGATGGTTCTCCATTTAAAGCCTCATTTGAGATAATCTGAAATTATCCCAGTTACAATTTTCTAGCTGAGGAGTGCATGTTAGGTTCTAAGAAAAGGATCAGGCTGTATCAACTGTTATTACCCACCCGCTTAGCGCACGGCTAATAAAGTGGGATGTCGGAAAACTGTGAACGGCAACATAGGTTCCGGCACGCTGAATTGAAGCTCTTTTGCAAGTAATTAAACAGCATGGTACCACTTCGGGAGCAATTTCCTGCTAACCGTTTACTGCCAGTGCTGGCGTGGCCCCAGTCACCATTTTGTTATCTCTGTGAAATTATGTCCCTTTTTATAATTTTATAATAATGACTGAGAGCACGTTGTTAGAGGGTAAATATTGTCTGAATGGGCATTGGATTCACATTCTCCTCACTGTCAGCTAGCTAACACAAATGCTTAGGCTATCTGTGCCATCTTCCCAAAATATTGAGAAAAATATATAAATGGCCGCTATCTCAGAAGCTCTAAAGCTTCTCCTGTGAAGAGCTATCCACGGTGGTGTGTAATCGTGAGAAACTCAGAGGGGTTGAATGGGAGCAAGCGGCCCGGGGTAATTGTGTGCACGTGGGAGCCAAGCCAGAGCAGGCAAGTGGCGCTATCTGAAGGGATGGTTCCCCCTCGGCGGGATGATCGCAACATGCTATCGGCGAGAGATGCTAATCCTGCTGTGTGGCATAAAGGGATTTGTTTTTATTCTTATTGGGCTCGCCGTGGAGCATCCCGGGGCGATTGCTGTTTATCTTTTCCTGTCTTTTCGGTTCCCCTGGGTTTTGTCCTGGAACTTCCAGTGCCTGTCGTCTCTTCCCCCCCCCCCCCCCCCCTCCTCCATACCCCTCTCTCTCACACACCTCCCCTGTCAATGCTAGGCAACTCACATCTCTCTGTCTCTTTCGCTCTCTCTCTCTCTCTCTCTCTCTTCACCCATTTAACTGGGGAAACAGCTGCAGCAAACTCACAACATCCACTTCAAAGGGGAACAAGAGGCGAGAACAGGACTTTATTTAGAAATGTTGACGGCAACTTTCCCCTCGCACACGCTTCTCGTCGGACGTCAGTTGTCTTTTCCCGACGCTTAAAACCCCCCATTAATTTAGCATTAGCAGGCGGTAATTCGCCTTATCGGAGGATTGCTCGCAAACATCTTGTCGACAAGCCTATCATTCTCTCTTCTGAGGGGAGAGTTGGGGGATTGAAGCAACTCAACATCCCTTCGTCCCTATCTGCTCCCCCCTAGATACTTTGCTGTGTGTCACCCTTGTTAATGGATTTTTGGGGGGAGATATTATTTTGGTCCAGTAAGCTGCATGCTTAAAATATGAGTGACAGGCCTGACTCATGCGCGCAGTGAGAGAATTGTGTTTTTAAAAGAAATAGGACTCCAGAAAAGAGCCGCTCTGCTGCAAAACTGGCCTACTCTATTAACAATAGAAGTGTGTTACCACCCACCCTCCCAACCCCCTCTGCAAAAAAATACACATGCTGGTAAAGCAACTTCTCCAAACTAAAATGTCCTATTTCTCTCTCCATCCCCCTTCCTCTCTCTCTCTCTTCTCTCTCTCTCTTCGCTCTTCTCTTCCCCTCCTAAGAAGATAGATGAGGAAAATGAGGCCAACTTGCTGGCAGTGCTTACAGAAACGCTGGATAGCATCCCGGTGGATGAGGACGGATTGCCTTCGTTCGAGGCCCTGGCAGATGGGGACGTGACCAATGCCAGCGACCAGAGCTGTCCCTGCACCCCCGACGGTTCGCCACCCACCCCCGAACCAGAGGAGCCCTCCTTGGTAAGACCCTGTTCCGCCCCCTCCCTCATCCCCCAGCACACCCCTTTCCCTTCACCCCCTTTGCCAGGGCCTCCGTCGACACCAGATAAGGCGCTGTGAGCGAAGCAGGCCGGTGACCAAAAATGTATATGTGCCTTGCAGGCCTTCAGCTTTGGCAGCCCAGCCGCCGCCACCCCCCATGCCCCCCCTTGTGCATGTCGGTCTGTGGGCTGAGATGAGCCATGATGCAGATGCATGGATGAAAGAGTAAATCGAATTGATCAGTGTTAGCTGTGAGGTGCTAATTACATTGTAGTGTACTAGCTGCGCCAATGTAATGATACATGCACAGTGCTGGGTCTGGTATGGGCGACGCTATGCCACGGGCCTCGAAATCGAGCTAGGGATGTAATGAGAAAAGGGAAATCCATCTCATCTCATCTAATGTCAGTGGGCCATACTAATCCCAGAGCCATCATTGGAGAAAGACTGTTTCCTGATGAAAGTTGGTCATACCGGTGTATTTGTTACGAAACACACAACATGACTACGTAACCCCTTTGATTTGGCCTTTCCTGAGGGGGTTTGACCAGGAATGTTTATTTTGTTCAGTTCTAGTCCATTGTATTTCATGCTGGCTCCACACTAGTAAAGCACGGCCATTGTGTACTCCAAAACAACTGCCACAGTAATTCTCGTTGACTTGTCCTTTTAACACTGTAAATAAAGAGAAAGAAGACCTGCTTGATAGATAGTAATGAGTTTGTCTTCATGAGGGCTTCTGTGTTGTTGTTACAACTACAACAAGATAAATCGAACATCCTCAGTCACACATTTACAAAAGCATTGACTATCTCTCTCTCTGATCGTTTAATTTAGTGAAATGTTGAAATTTCAGAGGCAACGGCAGTTTGGGTAAACTCTACTCACTGCTTTTTTCTCTATTCTCTCTTCCTCCCTCCTTTCTTCTCTGTTCTGTGTGTTTTTTTTTGCAGCTGAAGAAGCTCCTTCTGGCACCCGCAAACTCCCAGCTCAGCTATAATCAATACATAGGCGACAAGGCACAAAACCATGCAGCCAGCAACCTTCGGATCAGACCAACACCTGCTGTTGTCAAGGTAGCTACCCAGTTGCACCGTTCGCTCACTTCAAAGGCACCGCTTCCGTGGGCCCCTCCATGTTTGTTTATCATCTATGTTCTCGTCTTTTTTTTCATTGCCGGCCTTGGAAGATGTTAAACTTCTGCTCCACTGCCATCTCGTAATAAAAGCAGGCTGATTGCCTGTTCAGCTTTCCAGGCGAGGCATCGGGACTGTAACGGTGTCGGTCGAAAATCAAAGCGCTCCTTGTAGTAAGATTGCTGCTGATGACTAAATCAAAAATATCTAGTGATACAGTCTCATTGTTTCCATTAGGTTACCCTCTATCTACTGTTAGTGTTCTGTAGAGGGAATGGGTTTTCCATTTAGATTAATGTAGTATTTTATTGGGTGTATAATGGGCACAGGAATACAAATTAAATGAAGTAGGTGATTCCAGTATTTTGCTGCTTGCCGCATTTCATTGGAACATGATGGATGCTCTTGAAGATTAGATTTTTATTTAGTACGATAGCACATAAATAATGCATTCGATTACTCGTCCTTGTTCAGAGAAACTTCTGGAATGCGTTGGTAGCATTGTTGTCTAGTAAACAGTGCATACGGGAGCAGTTGTGTTGTGCACACACAGAGCTAACACATCTCTGGAAAGTCTATTTTTAAACCGTGCTTTTGACTCATCCATTTCTGGAGCACGGAGCTATGAGGACTCCCCCAGGACAGGGGATGAGCGCACAGAGCTGCTGCGGTGCCGCTCGGGGGCCACGCAATTAAGATGATGGGCGGGCGACGCTCCCACCACCGCCTCCCAAACAGTTGGGCAGACCCGTTGTGCTGAGCCTCACTCTCTTTTTTATTTATTTTTATTTAACCAGGTAAGCCAGTTGAGAACAAGTTCTCATTTACAACTGCGACCTGGCCAAGATAAAGCAAAGTAGTGCGATAAAAACAACAACACAGAGTTACATATGGGGTAAAAAAAAACTAAAGTCAAAAAAAATACAACAGAAAATATATATACAGTGTGTGCAAATGTAGCAAGTTATGGAGGTAAGGCAATAAATAGGCTATAGTGCAAAAATAATTACAATTAGTATTAACACTGGAATGATAGATGTGCAAGAGATGATGTGCAAATAGAGATACTGGGGTGCAAAAGAGCAAAATAAATAACAATATAGGGATGAGGTAGTTGGGTAGGCTAATTTCAGATGGGCTGTGTACAGGTGCAGTGATCGGTAAGGTGCTCTGACAACTGATGCTTAAAGTTAGTGAGGGAGATAAGAGTCTCCAGCTTCAGAGATTTTTGCAATTCGTTCCAGTCATTGGCAGCAGAGAACTGGAAGGAATGGCGGCCAAAGGAGGTGTTGGCTTTGGGGATGACCAGTGAGATATACCTGCTGGAGCGCAGACTACGGGTGGGTGCTGCTATGGTGACCAATGAGCTAAGATAAGGCGGGGATTTGCCTAGCAGTGATTTATAGATGGCCTGGAGCCAGTGGGTTTGACGACGAACATGTAGTGAGGACCAGCCAACAAGAGCGTACAGGTCACAGTGGAGGGTAGTGTATGGGGCTTTGGAGACAAAACGGATGGCACTGTGATAGACTACATCCAATTTGCTGAGTAGAGGGTTGGAGGCTATTTTGTAAATGACATCGCCGAAGTCAAGGATCGGTAGGATAGTCAGTTTTACGAGGGCATGTTTGGCAGCATGAGTGAAGGAGGCTTTGTTGCGGAATAGGAAGCCGATTCTAGATTTAACTTTGGATTGGAGATTATTAATGTGAGTCTGGAAGGAGAGTTTACAGTCTAACCAGACACCTAGGTATTTGTAGTTGTCCACATACTCTAGGTCAGACCCGTCGAGAGTATTGATTCTAGTCGGGTGGGCGGGTGCCAGCAGCGTTCGATTGAAGAGCATGCATTTAGTTTTACTAGTGTTTAAGAGCAGTTGGAGGCTACTGAAGGAGTGTTGTATGGCATTGAAGCTCGTTTTGAGGTTTGTTAACACAGTGTCCAATGAAGGGCCAGATGTATACAAAATGGTGTCGTCTGCGTAGAGGTGGATCTGAGAGTCTCTCTCTTCCTTAATCTCTTTTAACTCTCTTTCTTTCTTTCTACCTCCCCCTGCAGACGGAGATCTCCTGGAACAGCAAGCCGAGGGGGGGCTGTCCGCAGCAGAGCCGTCTAGTGAGGCGCCCGTGCACCGAGCTGCTCAAGTACCTGACTGCCACTGACGACATTCTCCTCCAGACCAAAGCCAGCGAAGCCAAGAGCGCCTGGGGGGGCGGCGGCAAAGACAAGGGCGGCCTGCTAGGCGCCTCCTCCACCTCCTCGTCGCCGTCCTCCTCCTCCACTTCCTCCTTCTCCTCGCTCTCCTCCTCCTCCTCGATCGCCTCCAAGAAGAAGTCATCCTCGTCATCCGTCGTGTCGCAGCAGCAACAGCAGCATCACCAGCGAGGTGAGAGCCGGGCTGCTGGCGAGTGTAGTGTGGCTGGTGTGGGGGCTGGGAAGTGGCGTCGTTGCGCTCATGGGGCTGGTGGCACTGAGGGACAGTCCGAACCCGCGGCGGCACCCGCTCCTGTCCCCCCAACACATAGGAACGGCAGTGCCCATGCCCGCCCCAAACTGGAGCGCAGGCCGTCCAGTGAAGAAGGAAGGCCGCCAGGTCCGCAGCCTGCGGTGGACGCGGGGCGCCTGGCAGCCGCTAGGTTCATTAGGTACATGCATTCTTATTCTCTCCCTCCTAGAGAGACGGGTCAGACAGGCAGCTGTGGGCGTTGCCCTGAGGTGGGCACTGCCACTCAGGCTAGCGAGTGCTGGGGCGGGCATGGCCGTGGTGCGGCGGCGTGTAGGCATATCACAGTGACCATTAAGAAAAGAGAGGGGGAGCCGGGGCATCCGTTGCTTAGCCAGCTGCTGACCTCCAAGCAGAGGCCCGCCCGCTATCGGGCCCACTTGCTCCCGCCCACTACTACCCCTCAGCCCCGCAAGAGCAGTTCATCAAGAATGAGCTCTGGAGTCCTGGAGAGGGATCAGTGTCCCAGCCAGGCTATTGAGGTGGAGGAGAAGTACAGAGGGACTGTCAATATCAATCCCGGCAGCAGGGGTCTCAGACAGGCCAAGGAGCCTGATTCGGACCCCTTGTTGGCCGAGAGCTTAGGCCTAGGCAACTGGGTTAGCCAGCCAGACCAGGGGCTAGATTTGGGGCTGGAGCTGGGCTTCGGTTGGCCGGAGGTTGGCCTGGTGGAGCAGGCTGGCTGTTTCAGGGAGGAGGTCCGCAATGATGATGCCATGTGCAGCCCCATGGCGCTCTCACAGGGCCTGCCAAGCCCACTCTTCCCAGATTCTAGAATTCCAGACCCCACGCCCTCCATCACACAAGGGCAGCAGCACCTACACAGGCAGGCAGTCTGCAGGCACCCCGATGACCAGGGCCTACCATTGTTAGGTAATCATCGCTGCATCCCCGCCCTCTCTCTCTCTCTTCTCCTGCTCTAACCACTTTCCAGTTTGACTACACACTAACCCCTATGCTAATTCGACGCTAGCTATCACTCTGAGAACAACAAAGAAATTGCTAGATGCACGATCTATTCCAAAAGGCATTCTTTCTAATTGGTACAGACCCTTGCCTCAAGATTGACTTAAGGGGAGGTGGGAGAGGGGTAGTAGCCTGTTACGCGTTGATACATTATGGCATCTGTTAAATAAACAACTATCTGGCTGGATCAAGCTGAGTGTTCTGAATGTCTACCTAGCTAGACTCGGCAGAGCACTGCTCTAATGTCTAACTGAGCTTCACTCTTTAGCTGCAGTTGGAGACAGCCAGAGCCTCAGGCAACTGCACAAGCTTCCTTGACTCTCCTTTCTTCCTCTGCTTTTGGTTCCAAATGCATGCGACAATTACTTCATGGGGGGTGGGGGTCACCACCACCACCACCTCTCATTGCCATGTGTACTGTTTGTGCCCGATTTTTTTTTTGGTATTGAGTGGGATATCTGTGTCAAACGGTGTACTCTGAACACATGTGCTAATGCCATCACTTCATCCTGCCTCACAAAGTGAACAGTCAACCAAAAGAACAGATGGGGTCAATAGAGAAAGCCTATTGGTTATTTGCTCTTCTAAACCAATAGCAAGAGAGCATTATTCTAATCGTACTAGGTTGGGTTTTGTAACATTACCTGATTTGAATGCCCCAATCTGAGATCAATTTGCAGATGTGGACCTGATCTCTTCTGCCTCAACTTGTTATCTATCTAGTTAAATAATTACCAATGCTCCTTTGTGTTCTGCAGCCAAACCAACCACCTTGCCACTTCCTTTGACCCCAGAGTCTCCAAAGTAAGTGCAAGAGTTTTTCAACATTCTACATAGACCAGACAACAACAAAAAAGAACAAAGACAAATAAAAAGACAAAGAATTAGCACCAAGATGAGGCATTTTGTTAACTCTCATTTCCATTTCTAAGATCACAAAGCCCTTTTATTAAAGTCACATTTTCCTGTGTTGAGTAAATTGGTGTGTTCAATCCCTTTTGTCTTTCAGTGACCACAAGGGATCACCGTTTGAGAACAAAACCATTGAACGCACATTGAGTGTGGAGATCTCTGGAACCCCAGGTAAGCATCTCATGTGTTTTCAGGAAATGTATGAATTAAGATCCATATATGAATGAGTGGGGCTTGATGCAAATATTCACACAAATGTGTTGTGTTATAATGGAAAACCCTAGTTCTCTCACTTAGCCAGTTAGGGGTTCAATTACAGTCACTGCCTCAAGGCTTTTCACACCATCTTGATAGTTCCATAAAAGTTCAGAGTTGAAGGTGAAGGACTAGGACACGGTGTGACATTTTTTATATGCCTCACTATTGATTAAGCTTTCCAATCTCCTTTGGGTTTATTAGACAGATCCCCCTCCTCTCGGTGAAGAGTTAATATACTGCCACTCCTTTTTCTCTCTCTCTCTAGTTTCGATCTTAATGCCCTTTGACTGTGATGCTCACCAATACATCACTGACAATTGATGTGTCATTATTATTGTTTTAATTGGTTTTGCCACGTAATTCAGTTTCGACCGATATTATCTGTCTCTTTTTTTCCTCAGACAGTCTGGTAATTTGATTAGAGACATGGAAGGTAATGTCCAATGGTAAGGCTTGATATTTATGGGAAGGATGCCATTTTCCAAACGGGGTCAACGCGGGGTGATTTTAGTAGTATTATTGTCATTATCCCTGTATATTATATACTTATTCATTAAGTGTGTCGGTGAGAAGCTACAGACAAAAGGTAATTAAAAGCCAGTCAAAGAGAATGTCAGCCAAAGCTAAAACACCAGGCTTCAGCAGTTCTTCTCTCTCTCTCTCTCTCTGAATTATGCAGGTAATTATTTCACAACCCCCCCCCCCCCCCCCCCCACCCCTCCTTCCCTGAGATTAATCATCCCAGGTCAATAAAAACAAAATGGATGCCCTTTTCTTCTTCTTCACAATGTGTTGTGGCAATGGGCCTTTTGGTATTCATTTACTAGCGGGGAAAAGAAATGGGCCACGATGTAACATGCCAGGCTCGCCCCCGAGACTCAAGGTGACGTTTTGTTTGGGAACGAGGACCAATAGGAATTATCTGCAGTCTCTTTAGAGTTGGAAAGGGGGTACATTTGTGGGACACCAATGCCCCAAGGGGGGTCCTCCAATTGACCTTGCTCCACTTGCCATTTAACCCTGTGTGTATATGAGCATCAGAGGTCAGAGGGGACACCCATAGGGAATTAAGAGCTGTGGAGCAATCAAACTGTTCATATTTCTTTATTTTTACTGTGTGTGGGTGTGCCTCTGACTGCTGGCTTAAATCCTGTCGCATTCTCCTCATGTCCCTGTGTTCCTGCTCCAGCCATAGTTAATAAAGCCAAACTCTGACTCCACTGCCCTTTGCAGATTTGGGATTAGATATTAGGGAAAAGCAATTAGAAGGAAAAACTCATGGATATTGAGCCCCTTCCGCTTTAGGATTAGTCTAGTCCCGTGCGGTAAGCGACTTGGGAACTCTGGATATGGAGAAACGTGGGGAATGAAATCTCTGTGATCCCTTGAGTTAATGTCTGCCCAATAGCCCCGCTCAAGTAGATCTGGAGATTATGGTTATTTAATTGATAGCAAAAAGGAGATAAGACAAAGGGGGAGGGGCCACCTTCAGGACAGGGAATTATCCGTGGCAAGTTGAAGGAGAGACATTTTTATATCTTTATTAGGAGTTGTAATAGTAGGCCAGTAGTAGATAAACATTTCAGTTGTAAACTTTTCCATGACATGGGGTGGGAAAGGTTTTCTTCATTATCAGTAGTGATGGTAGTAGTAGGCATAGTAGTAGTAGTAGTAGTAGTAGTAGTAGTAGTAGTAGTAGTAGTAGTAGTAGTAGTAGTAATACTAGTAGTAGCAGTAGTCGTTGTCGTAGTAGGATTTAATACCGCTAACCGTACACTAGGCCCTTAGTTGTTATTGTTTTGTCACTGAGGTAAACCTGAGGCAACCCCACTACTCTGAATGAGCCCACGGATTTCACTGGAAGGACTAATCTCCTCTCACTAATAGATTTACTCTGCACTGTGTTGTCTTTAATTACAGTATCTCATGACACCGGGGTTTGGGTCTATGTGTTGCTATTTGCATGGCTTACCACCGGATCAACTCTTTAATCCCCGAGTCGGAGTCATTCGTTTGGAAGTCTCTTTGCAATTTACAGTCCGGACAGAAACAGATTAGGAAAAAAATGAAGAAAAAGACAAAAAAAACTGGCTATATGATAAGTGTTTGTGTCTGCCGAGCATCCATCACCAACTGGTTTGACTGAGAGGCGCATATTTATCTAATTCTGATTTATTTCGACACGGCGCTAATGGCTCCTAGTTTATGACCCTAGTGCGCATTGTTTTGCACAGATGGCGTTCCATTGGCGAAACAGAAGTTCCTCAGGCACCGCGCTGGCCCTCCCTCCCTTCCCTTTTCATAGCTCATTTCATTGGCATAATGATAAATATAGCCCTCTTTCTCAGTTCTCTCTCTCTCTCTCGCTGAAATGCTGCATCAAGTCTCTGTGTCGCTACCGGTGTACCACGTCTGACTGTTAAAGTGGGACGGGGGTTTGCGGCTCGGTTTAACGTAAAATCCAGATAATAATTCTAGATGATAAGCTGGTCGGATTAGACAGCCTCAGGAAATGGCCCCGAAACAGATTTTTTTTTATGTATCAGTCTCTCTCTCGCTCTTTCTCTCTCCCTCTCTCATTCTTGTTCTCTCTCCGTGTCTCTCTCTCACGCTCTCTTTCCTGGCTCCGAGCCGTCCCAGTAAATACTCTTACACTGGATTTGATACTAATAGCTGTCATTTGGTGCAATTCACTGTGAGGGAGAGGAATGTGCATTCATAAAATTTGCAAAGACAGGTGTTCAAAGTGCCTAAAATACATTCCAGAGAGGGAGGCTGTTCGCGGCTATTGTGTGTCTGTGTCCATGTGTCCGTGTGAAGGTGCATGTGTGTCTGTGTGCTGTGTATTAGTCTGGAAGAGAAAGACAGACAGTGAGAGAAAGAGAGATGATGAGAGACAGAGAGAGACAGAGAGATTGATCCAGAGAGGAAGACAGACGGGGAGCAAGGAGGGGAAGAGACAAGAGGGAGACGAGAGGGAAGGGACTGCCTACCTAGCGCTGGTTGTTTGTGTATGTGCATTAACAGTGCTATAAAGCGGGCCCATCTCAGGAATTCCCATATAACTGCCATCTGTCGGCCTATAAATCTGTCAGGAGGGGTCAGGTTCGGCACGAGCCACAGAGAGGCAGGCAGGATCTGAGAAGAATGACAACCCATTACCCCAGCAGACACTGAGCCTCCATTACCAGTCAGACATCTCCCCAGTGCCAAGCCGACACTATCGTATGACAGCGCAGTGGCATGCCATAGCAACATGTACCTCCGAATACTGACATATCTCGCTACCTTGACTGGCAGTAGAGAGAGGAAGCCTGAGCTATAGGACACTTCGCTTTTTTTAGGCTACATTTGAGGGTTCAAGTCGTGATGCTATATATTTTCAAAGGATGGTCGGTCGAGGAGGATGTGTTCTATTTGTCCCCTGCGGATGTGTGGCTTTCTCTTCTTCCTGAACGAGGGATTGTCCAAGGTCAGGGAGGGAGGGAGATATGGCGGTGGTAGCCGAGCCATGTAGCAGCTCCACCATATTAAGTTACACAGAGCATTACATTAATCTGTCAAGATTGCAATAAAATACGGATCAGGATTAGGAGCAGGAATGAAAGTGAATATTTTAATCAAGCCCCTGTATGTATCCACTGTCTATAAACAGGTTGTGGGGAATGGAAGGGGAGGGAGGGAGGTGTAGAGGTAGAATGCATTATAATTCCATTCTCTTATCAACCCTCTCGCTCTCTCGCTCTCTCTCCCTCCCTCCGCCTCTCCCTCTCTCTCTCCAGGTCTGACACCACCTACCACGCCCCCCCACAAAGCCAGTCAAGAGAACCCTTTCAAAGCATCACTCAAAACCAAGTTGTCTTCATGCTCCTCGTCTGCCCTGGCGTGCAAGAGGGTTCGGCTGAGCGAGGCGGGCCCCTGCGGCCCCACGACCCTAACCCCGGCCCTAGGCGGGGGTCCCTCCAGGAATGGCCCCGAGCAGACTGAGCTGTATGCCCAGCTGAGCAAAGTGTCCACTGCCCTCCCCACCTTGGTGGTCACTGCGACGACAGGGGGTTGCCAGGAGGAGCACTGCGGCGGCAACGGCAAGCGGGGTGCCCAGCCCCGCAGCTACAGCGACCACGACTATTGTCAGTCGACGGCGGCCAGCACAAAACAGGAAGCCGCCGCTAATGCAGCTAACGCTAATGCAGCTGTCGCTACTGTTACTATGACGACTACTACAACAACCCCTCTGATGCCCAATCCGGCCATTGCGGAGGACAGGCATGTGACATGTAAGGACTCAGCCATGCCACCCTCCTCCTTTTCTTCCTCCTCCTCTTCTACATCTTCTCCTCCATCTTCATCCTCTTTGGCCAAGCAGCTGCAGCAGCAGCAGAGCTCTTCCCCTGTGGCTACGGAGGCTCGGGGGCAGGACCGGACCACCACCACCCAGGCAAGACCACCCCCACCACAGACCCCAGAAGGGGACCAGCATTCCACCAGCAGGAAGCAGCCCTTGCGAGACCAGGAGATCCGGGCAGAGCTCAACAAGCACTTTGGCCGCCCCCAGCAAGCCATTTACAGCCAGGGTGAGAAGGGGGGGGAGTTGGTGGTGGAGGAGGGGGGGCAGGGAGGAGGGGAGAAGGCTGTAGCCCCGCAGCCGTCCGAGGAGAGCCCTGTTGGGGACGAGTACTACTGCAAGCTCCCTGGTTCTGGGTCTGGTTCTACTGGGTACCTGCACCCGGGCCTCCCGCCCTTCCACGAGGAACTTGAGCTTGAGGACCGCGGCGTGGAGGGACACTTCCTCTACCCCTGGGAGGGCACCCCCCTGGAACTGCTTTTCGAGTCCTGCTCGCCGTCCTGCTCGCCGTCCAGCTGCTCCCCCTCACGGGGCTCCGTCTCGCCTCCCTCCTCCCTCCTCCTCTCTCCCAGACACTTTGTCTGGCCCCGCTCGGGCTCCCCCTCCTCCCGCTTTCGCTCCCGGTCCCGGTCCCGCAGTTCCTCCTCCCACCACCGGAGGCGCTCCCTCTCCAGCTCACCTGACGGACGCCCCTCCTCCAGGTGAGTAAAGTCTCAATCTTTAGGTTCCCATGTCCATACTACCACGATGCTTAGAAATCTTGCCCATTCTGAAAATATTCAGACCCCTTCCCTTTTTCCACATTTTGTTACGTTACAGCCTTATTCTAAAATGGATTCAATTACTTTTTTCCCTCATCAATCTACACACAATACCCCATAATGACAAAGCGAAAACAGGTTTTTAGAATTTTGTGCAAATGTATTAAAAATAAAAACAGATACCTTATTTACATAAGTATTCAGACCCTTTGCTATGAGACTTGAAATTGAGCTTATGTGCATCCTGTTTCCATTGATCATCCTTGAGATGTTTCTACAACTTGATTGGAGTCCACCTGTGGTAAATTCAATTGATTGGACATGATTTGGAAAGGCACACACCTGTCTATATAAGGTCCCACAGTTGACAGTGAATGTCAGAGCAAAAACCAAGCCATGAGGTCGAAGGAATTGTCCGTAGAGCTCCGAGACAGGATTGTGTCGAGGCACAGATCTGGGGAAGGTTACCAAGAAATGTATGCAGCATTGAAGGTCCCCAAGGACACAGTGGCCTCCATAATTCTTAAGTGGAAGAAGTTTGGAACCACCAAGACTCTTCCTAGAGCTGGCCGCCCGGCCTAAGCAATCGGGGAGGAGGGCCTTGGTCAGGGAGGTGACCAAGAACCAATGGTCACTCTGACAGAGCCCCGGAGTTCCTCTGTGGAGATGGGAGAACCTTCCAGAAGGACATCTATCTCTGCAGCACTCCACCAATCAGGCCTTTATGGTAGAGTGGCCAGACGGAAGCCACTCCTCAGTAAAAGGCACATGACAGCCCACTTGGAGTTTGCCAAAAGGCACCTAAAGGACTCTCTGGTCTGATGAAACCAAGATTGTACTCTTTGGCACCATCCCTACGGTGAAGCATGGTGGTGGCAGCATCATGCTGTGGGGAGTTTTTTTAGCAGCAGGGATTGGGAGAATAGTCCGGATCGAGGGAAAGATGAACGGAGCAAAGTAAAGAGAGATCCTTGATGAAAACCTTCTCCAGAGCGCTCAGGACCTCAGACTCATTTCCAACAGGACAATGACCCTAAGCACACAGCGAAGACAACGCAGGAGTGGCTTCAGGACAAGTCTCTGAATGTCCTTGAGTGGCCCAGCCAGAGCCCAGACTTGAACCCGATCGAACATCTCTGGAGAGACCTGAAAATAGCTGACAGAGCTTGAGAGGATCTGCAGAGAAGAATGGGAGAAACTCCCCAAATACAGGTGTGCCAAGCTTGTAGCGTCATACCCAAGAAGACTTGAGGCTGTAATTGCTGCCAAAGGTGCTTCAACAAAGTACTGATTAAAGGGTCTGAATACTTATGTAAATGTGATATTTCCGTTTTTTATTTTTAAACATTTGCAAAAAAGTCTAAAAGCCTGTTTTTGCTTTGTCATTATGGGGTATTGTGTGTAGATTGATGAGGGGGAAAAAACTATTTAATACATTTTAGAATAAGGCAGTAACGTAACAAAATGTGGAAAAAGTCAAGGGGTCTGAATACTTTCCGAATGCACTGTATCTACTACTTAGCTTCATTCTAAGTAGTATGCCAGTGTGGATATCGGAACACAGCCAAGTTATTCCCTCCTGGTGGGTGCCATTTCCCCTCTGTTGTTCGAACGTTGTTTGAGCGTTGCATAAAGGTTGTGGGCGGCTCTGACAGTGCTCCCGGCAGGGGGTGGACAGCTCAGTCGTGTCAACAGGCCTCATCAGCCGTCAGAAACGTGTCAATAGAGGATAGGCGCTGTGGTCTGAGTCTCTTCAGTCTCCCAGTATGGGGCCTCCTTTAGTTTTAGCTGCTTCAGGATCCCCAGCTTGAACTAGAAACATGGGGGAGACTCATTATGTTCCAGAGGAAAGAGGCTTTAACAATAGGAGAGTGTGTCAGGGCCAGGGAGAATCCTTACAGGCTGGACTACTGGACAGTGGATTGTGCTAGCCAAGCTCAACTCTTTCAGTGTTTTACTATAGAGTAGAGGCTGTATGTATCACTCTTCTCAGAGTAGAAGTGCTGATCTATGATCAGGTCCCTCATGTACATAATCGTATTCATTATGATCTAAAAGGCTAAACTGATCTGAGATCAGCACTCCTACTATGAGAAGCTTGATACATTTGGTGTATTAGTCAGGTTTGGTGTATTAGTCATCAAAACGGTATATCTGAGAAAGAGGCAACTAGGAAAATGAGAAGCGACTGAGGCGTTGTGCTTTGGTTGCTTCAACGTTGTCAAAGCCTTGTTTCCCATGGCAAGGTTTTGTCACTCTCATCTCCTTCTCCGCTTTCCTGGGATCTCTGTTTGATGCAGTGCATGTTGTTTTAAGCTGCAGCTGTTGTTTTGCTGAGCGCCAGGAGAACCCCCCTTTGTCCCGGAAGATGAAAGCCAAATCTGGGAAGTGAGTTGAGTTCTGGACCACCTCCTCTGAAAACAGTGTGTATTATCACAGCAGCTCGGGGGAACTACATTTCCCATGGTTCCCTTTGATCAGAGCAGAGTGGGTACTGTGTTTTTTTTAAAGGAAATAGGTACTGAGTAGGACTACAAATATAAGGAGACTTTTATCAGCAAATTTGCATTGAGTGCCTTGCAAACTGGATAGACTCTTCATTCACTTCCCTCAAGCTCATAAGTGAGTTTAAGTTTGTTTGCTGGGTTAATGAAAGGTTTCAATGGAGGTTAGCTTTTCCTTTGTTTTGTAGTCCTTTATCCTTGATAAATCACTCACTCTGATGACTATCACCAACCTCATGATACAGTACACCAAAAAAGTCAAAGGGTTTCTAAAGATATCAGGGTTAGTACTTGAAAGAAGAAAAACTTGAAAAAATAACCTTATAAAAGGTTATGGCTAAGGTTACCTGAGTAAAAGTACCTACATCTCAAGAACTCACTCAAGAACTCAAAGTGAAACAATTTCAACAAATCAATTTTTTCTCTCTCAAATCTCTCTACTTCCAAACTCTTGTCTTCCTCAACTTTGTGGACGTTTGACCATAGCCTAACTTCTCTCCCTCTATTATTCAAGTCTCCCTTCATCAGCATCAGTTCAATAATTAAGCAATGAGAGCTTGTACTCTGTGTAGGGCTACTAGCTTTAGAGTTAGGCCATGTGGCCTAAGGACCTTCCCCTCATTCAACATAGATACGAGGTGTATATACTGGCCCTTGTGGGGGGAAAGGTGAGAACATCTCCCAGCTGCACTGTGCAGAAGCAGAGTATAGCATGTCAAATTCAGTAGAACTAGGAAAAAGTAAGTGTTAAGAAAAATTAGCAGAACCTATTTGGACTTTTGGTTATGTGTTTTTTTTTATGGTCAGATTTGACACTGTGGCTGTCTGTCATCTTGTAAGAAAAGGCTATGATTTAGGGATGCCAAGGGACAGTGACTGGCATATCTAGACAATATTATCGATTTTAGAGATACGCATCTCAGATATGTACACATTTTTGTGATATCCTGGATGATATCTTGATGATTATTGTACATTCCGTTTTTGCAGGTCTCGTCACAACATGGACTCCAGCACTTACCGATCCAGGACCCACAAAAGCCCTCACTCACAGTCTCGATCTCAGTCCAGATCCCCCCTTAGCCGCAGGCCAAGGTAAGGGTCCTACACATCCCTAACACTAAACCAGGGGTAAACAGCTCTGGTCTGATGATCCAGTCCCTGCAGTTAATGCTTGTTTTCATCCTTGCCTTTTAACCAAAAACAGTAATTGATTGAAAACCAGCAAGATTGTGGAACTTGAGGACCTGAGTTGTGCACCGCTGGACAATGTCCTTATGCACAAACACAGGCAGTGTAGAATATTGACACTCCTTCCCAGCTCCAAAATTATTTGCCATTGATTTGATGAGCCTAGCGACACCAGGAAAGCCCCAAATCTTCCCATCTCTCCAATGCATGGCCAAATCTGACGAGGAAGTTGAGAGAGAAAAGTTGTACTTCTTTCCCCCAGATGAAGCCCTAAATAAGCAGAAAGTAATGACGTCAAGTAGTGCTGACAGTGGCAGCTGCCCAGCTTCCGACTGTGCATCTCTCCCGCTATCCACCCTCTCCCGCGGGCCTCCTACGGGATGCATAACCTTAACAGCGAGGAGGAGGCGTCTTCTTATTAAGGCATTTGTTTGTTTCCCCACCCCTCTGAGAAATGTAGCCCTTCTCGTTGGTGGGTTTTCGGCCGATACGCTTCATAACTGCGGACATTGAAATGAAGGGCAGATGTTGGAAGGGCGGTGGAGGACAGTGAAAGTGATGGGTTTGGTTTGGTCCCTCCGCAGGTACGACAGCTACGAGGAATACCAACACGAGCGTCTGAAGCGGGAGGAGTACCGCCGGGACTACGAGAAGAGGGAGTTTGAGAGGGCCGAGCAGAGGGAGAGACAAAGTCAAAAAGCAATAGTGAGTTCCCCTGTCATTGTTCTGATCTCTCTCTTTTCTGATATCTCTCTCTCTCTCTCTGCCTATCTCTCTACGTTCCCACCCACCCTTTCTCTCTCTCTCTCTCTCTCTCTCTTCCATCTCTCTGACCTACTCTCTCGTTCACAAAACCCAACACACCCTTGCTCTCTCTCTTATCTCTCTCTGGTCTTCTACTCCTCTCCTCTCTCTCTCTACACAGTTCACACCCTCCTCTCTCTGTCTCTCTCTCTCATCTATCTCTCTCTCGCTCTCGCTCGACATCTCTCTCCTCTCGTCATCTCTACTCTCTATCTCTCTCTCTCTCTAGTTCACACCCACCCCCTTTCTCCTCTCTCTATCTCTCTCTCTCTCTATACTCTACGTTCCCACCACCACCAATTCTCTAAACTCTCTCTCTCTATCGTATCTCTCTAGCTCCTCTATATCTCTCTCCTTTATCTCTATGTTATCACCCCACCCCCCTACCATCTCATCTCTCTCATCTGCACTATATCCTATCTCTCTCTCTTTCTATATAGCTCCTCTCTCTCTCCTCTCTCTCTCTCTATATGTTCCACCCCCACCCTCGCTCTCTCTCTCTCTCCACTCTGCCTTATCTATTCAGACAAGTTCCCTCCCCATACCCTACAAACCTTTTCTACGCCGCCTTCTTCTCTCTTTCTTACTTTCTCACTTATCTATGTGATCCTCGATAGTCTCCTCTTCTAATCTCTCTCTTCTCTCTCTCTCACCTCCGATCCTCACGCATCATCTCCTCTATCACATCTCCTCTCTAGCTCTCTATATCTGCTAGCTAACCTCATACGTTCCCACCACCCTTAGATTCTCACTACCTCCTCTCTCATCTCACAGATACGCTTCCCCTGCATATATCTGTCTACGTTACACCCACCCTTTCTCTTCCCTCTCACTGATCTCGAGAGCCTCATCCGCCAATGCCAGCCTATCTCTCTAAGGGCACTAAATCCCAAACTTTGCGCCGACCTCTCGACTAGCGTGCCACCAACCTAGTACACAGAGGCCGTAGTCGGCCTCTATGAGCACTGCGAGACAGGCCAAACCCCAAACTTTCGACTAGAACTACCCCTAGCAACCTCACCCCACCCCCCAACACAACAACCCGCCGCATATATCAATGCACTTCTCGATCTGCTATACTCTCTACGTTCCACAACAAACATCTTCTCCTATCCCCCCTCCCCACTATCTCCTCCTATCATAATCCTCTACTCACAAGCCTCAACTCTATACTCTTACTCTACTACCGTTCCCACAACCCTACTAGACTCTCTATCTCTCTCTGCCCTATGACTCTTACGGTCCACACCACAAATCCCTTCTAGCTCCTCTTCTCGCTCTCTATATTCTTCACACTACAGCGCGCTGCTCTCTGTCTGATCTCGCTCTCCTCTCTCGCTCTCTCTGAGCTTCCTATACGTTCACAAACCACCATCTTCTCCTCCTACCGCTCTCTCTCCACTCCTCTCTCGCCATCTCTTACGTTCCAACCCACCTCTTTCGCTCTCTCCTATCGTCTATCTATTGCCTAGATACTCTAAGTTTCCCACCACCTCTATTCGCTCATCTCTCTCTCTCCTCTCTCTATGCCTATACGCTCTAATTACCAACCCAACCCACTGTCTCTATATCCTCTCTCTATCTCCCTCTCTGCTATCACGATCAATACCTCCGACGACTTCACCAACCACCACCCCCCGTCGCTCCCTCTCCTCTCTATCTTGAAGATCTTCTCGAAGTTACCAACCCAAACCTATCTTCTCCTCTCGCTCTCCTCTCTCTCTTTCTTCTCTCTCTCTCTACTCTCACTCGCGCTCCAGCCATCGCTCTCTCTCTCGATTCGCCACCTATCTATACGGCCAAAACCAACCGGTCTATCTCTCTAGCACTCTCTCCTCTCTCTCTGCCTATCTCTGCTAATTTCCCACCCACCCTTTCTTCTCTCCCTCGCTCTCTCTCTCAGTCTCTCTCTGCCCCACCTATCTCTCTAAGTTCCCACCCACCCTCGCTATCGCCACATTCTCTTTCTACCTCTATATTGGCACCTACTTTCACCTGTCCACCCCCCCACCTCATTGATCTCTCATCTCTCTTCCCCGTCGATAACCTCTCGTACCCCTCTCTCATATCCACTTCTAACAGCCCGCCAGCCCCACCTGATAATATTCCCCCGCTGTGAGCCATGCTGTCTCACTACCCTCGACACCCGCGGCAGCCGTTGTGGGCCCGTGGCCCAGTCCCTGACCGCTATCCTCTCTACGGACTGAATAAGCAAAGGCGTCATGAACTCTATCCGGGTCCCAATCGTTTTCTCGTCCTCATATTCTCACGCACCCCCCGGACGTGTTTTTTTTCTAAACAGGCTTCCGGCAATACTTCCCTGGCCTACCGGTGTCAGCTCTCTAATCACCCACCCACCCCCACGCAGGGCGCCATGTTAGAAGCTGCCACGAGCGGGGGAGTAGGTTGCCGGGGGATTACTATTCATAACACCGGCAATCCAGAGGCCAAAGGGCCAGTTCCACTGTTTCACATCAGGATACCTCTCTAATCTAGGTCGAATTTCAATCAGGGGCCCCGCTATGAATTATCCCTCCTCTACCTCTCTCTCTGCGTTCATTTGCCACTCTTTGAAACCTGGCACCCTACCGACTGTGAATGCACAGTCAAATACAGCACCCGCCCAGTGTAGCCTGAAGTACATTTTAGCGCGCACAACCATTTCCCATGGAGCCCAGCACCGCCAGGATGAAGATTTTCTTTTCGTCCAGTAGCGTTTGGGGGGCCCCGCGGTTGGGGGGCGAGGTTTGGGGGGCCCCGCGGGCTTCTGGGGTGGCCCCGAGTTTTGGCCGATCCCTTACTGATATCCATCCTCGCCCTGTGGCCGAGGTTTGGCCTTACTGAGGCCCCCTAACTCCTACATTTATTTCGTATGCTATACTCTTACCGCCTTTTACCTGTTACTCCAGCCGCACGTTTAAATTGATATGGGGGTAGGCTCTACCTGAACGCCCGCCTGACCCATTCACGCACTGCTATATTAACCCATCGATCGTCATAACCTGATTCGCCTCTTGGCCGCCCCCAACCCTCTCTAGTTGACTCGGCTGTGTTCCATTTCCGGGTTTGTTGTCCTTCCCAACCCCCCTCTTCAACTCACCGGGCTTCCCTCCCGCATCAGTGTCCCTACCCACATGTACCTGTTCTGCCATAGCACGCAGACCCGCGGGTTAGACACGAACCACTTGCCAGCCGTTCATCCACCCGCCGAGCTTTTGCGTTTCAACCAATGGGGCCCCCTCGGCCTATGTTTACTCGTAAGCCGCCGCCCCCCTCCTCTCTGCGGCACTCTCATGGAGAGGACCTCGGGATTCCCCTCATCGATCGGCAGGGGAAGTTTAGGCTGGGTGATGTGCGGTTCCAAGGTGCGTTTAATCCTTTGGTGTGTCCGCGGCCACTATTTAGTCGCAGCGTTTCCCGCAAGAGGTTTCAATGCTTCCACTTACTTTAGCCAAACGGCTCACTCTTGATGTGCGCTCCACCCCTTGGGATTGTTGCGCAGAGCAGAACCACAACACTCCGGTTAATTTGCTTTTTCTCTCTTTTTCTACGTAGTGGCGCTTCTGGTCTGTGCCACGTTTAGGCTCATATAGAGTGTGCATACACCTTAACTTTGGACAGGCCTATATCCGCTCTGTCAAAGTGGCGCTATGTAGGCAACACCGGGTTACTGTTGCTATTGGACCGAGGTCGTAGTCTGCTAGATTTCTTTGTGGAGGTGACTTTAAGTTTTCTTCGAGTACCCGGACCAACTGCTGCTCCATGTCTCTTTTCTTCTCGTTTCACCAGTGGCTTTGCTGGGTTAGGCTTTTCAACCATTTGAATGGATCTATTATAGCGACTTGTGCCCCGCGTACGAGTGCGCAAGTTAAATGTCCTTTCGGGCCAATCATCGCCCCCATCCGTGTTTGTGTGTATAGGCGTCCTCATCACACGAGCTCAATTAGTGACTCCAGCCCACCAGTATAATACCCAGTGATACCACCACGTAGCCCCAAACGTCCTCCGTTGCGCTCATCGTTGCCGGCTGATGTCGTATGCTTATCAGACGCACTTTCAATTGCTCCCCCCAACCATGATTGCCGCTCGGCTTTCGGTCCAAAAAATTATGCCGCTGTCTGTAGTCGTTGACCTTTGCCTTGTGGTTCGAACCCCGGACCTTGTGTTTTTTCCCCCCATGCGCCTTCTGTTGTATCTCTCCGAATGGTTTTTGTCCGAGTTCTCTCCTTGCGTACTTCACTGCGGCCTCTGTAGGTAATGGTCTCCCCCGCCCCCATGTCCTTCCACTTTTCCCGCTTCTCGAGACCTTGTCCCCGTATAGTTGCACGAGGGAAGTAAGAGCTCTATGGCAAGATGACACGGCTCCTTTTGAAGATGGCGTGCTCTGGCGTCTTCACTACCCGGTGTTCCTGTTCAAGTCTGGGCCCCGCTCCCCCCGTAGACAGACTCACGACATAACGGCATGACCGGTTATGTCTCCGGGGCGCGTTGTCTAACGCCGTGTCCTCTCGCACGAAGGCGCTATTTAGCACCGCCCAAAACCCTCCCGGAAGACCCCCCCACCCGGGGAGCAACACCGGGTGGCCTCACGTCATGGCGCTCGCCCCTTTGCCCGGGCGTTCGGTCTTGCGTCGTAGCCTTTCGTTCTTGTACCGCGCCCCAATGACGAGGCCCCTGGTTTCCTGAAGGGGCCAGATGACAAAGACCTGCGATCACCCTGCGCTGGTGTCTCCTCACGCTTCTCAGTCTCTCCTCTCGTCTTATCTCTCCCTATTCCTGAGCCTACGGAGGCGCGGACGCGGGGTGTCGGGGTGGGGGGAAGACATGCGTGCCGCCCGAAGACCGAAGTCCCGCGTGGTTGTGTTGTTTTTCCCGTCTTCGGTGACTCGCTCCCGCCGAGTGGTGGTCTCGTGGAAAGAGGATGCGGCGCGCTGCCGGGTCTCGGCCCCGCGCCCTTTTGTTCTTTGTTTTTTTTGAGTTGGTGTTGTGTCTGTTGGGTGTTGTTGGTTTGGTTGGGTTTCAGGTTTCGACGTAGTTGTGTGTGCTACAGGTGGGGGGTTCGTCGCGTGCTGGGGACAGGGAGCAACATAGGTTCCGGAGGTGGCGGGGTGTTGCGCTCTGCGTCAGGGCGGGTTTTGATCCCCACCAGGTTCCTCGGCTATGTTTTGACCACCAAGATTGCTGGATTCCTTGCATTTTGTTCATCACACCTCTGGGTGAGTGGGAAGCACAAGCAATAGCGCGTCTGCTCTCCTTCCGGGATTACTTTGTCTGGATTCTAGGCCCAAAGACAAGCGCCAAGTTACAACTAGCCACGGTTGTCGAAGCGATGTTTTTGGGGCGCCCTGTCAAGTAGTCCTGTATGTTTGGATTGTATTCGCAAGCTGAGTCTTTAGGTGCCTAAGCAGCAGTAGACCAATGCGAAAGGCAACCGGCACATACGATCTTTTCTTGCTGCCCTAAACCGCTAAGTGATGGATGTCGACAGACACTCATCGCTGGGCGTCAGACACACGGACACCCTGCCGTTGTTTGATCGATTTTCTCGGCGCCACGCTGGACCAATGTTTTGTTGATACATAAACCCGCTACACTTGTGACGCCTTCGCTGCCCTTGAAAACGGACATACCTTACGCCGGTCAACGAGCCCCAGTTCGAGCTGTGCTTCGGTGGACAAAAGCAGTTCTGCAAATCGAATTATACAGACTTGGGTAAGTTCTGCTTTGTTGTTGCTGGGGGAGAACCCCAGAGCCACGGCTAATACAGGCGGACTGTCAAAGGGAGTGATGGAGGGAGGGGAGGGAGGGAGGGGGGGGAAGCTGGGAAAGCAAAAAACGCTCAAGTGAAGCTTTTTTAAATGAAAGAGCATATATTTACTCTTACCACCCCCCCTCAAGCTTTAGAATTCACCTTCGAGGCATCATGGTTCAATATGTGTACCCTGTAGCTCAGTTGGTAGAGCATGGCGCTTGCAACGCCAGGGTTGTGGGTTCGTTTCCCACGGGGGGCCAGCATGAAAAATGTATGCACTCACTAACTGTAAGTCGCTCTGGATAAGAGCGTCTGCTAAATGACTAAAATTTAAATGTAAATGTAATTCCAGGAATAGAACTGCTCTTTTAACCGCCACCCATATAGGAATATATCTTGAGGATTCGAGAGGCCTTCTTCCATTAGATTGCTCACAGCCTATTTCTTTGTACTTTAGTCAATGCACAGGAAGTATGTAATTGGAAAGAAAGAGCGCTATACCCTTTTAAAGCTTATCTGTGGTTTGATTTGATACCCTCTATACAGGGATGTATATTCTATGCTCTGGTCCTCTTGGAGGGTAAAGAGAGGTAGATGGGAGGGGGAGGGGGGAGGGGGATGAAGGGAAGGGGTAGGGGGGAGGGGGATGAAGGGGAGGGAGGAGGGGGGCAAGGTTAAGTCCCATCAGCCCATCCCTCCTGGGTGAGCCTCCATCTGTTGCCAGCTGTTGTGGTGTTCAATAGAGGAAAGACCTCGCTGTGGTACCTAGCAGCGTGTCATCCACTGAGAGAAGGATGAAGGGTTGACGAGGGAGATGAGGAAACGAGCCTGACAGCGGAGGCCTGATTTGACTAATAATCACACATCTCTTCCTCATGCAACACTTATAGACAGAGACACTGACACAGGCTCGGGTCGTTAAGACAGCAGCCCTACAAAGTGCCGGCGACTTAAAAGCACGGTTAGAGCTAGTTGATTCATCGAGGAAATGGTACACAACTTACACATGCATGTACAGAAAAAGAAACCGTATACGCACTCAAATGTTCAGATGGACGTGGCTATAGTGCGAGATGACGAATTTGATAAATAATGCAAGGCATTGATACAAATCTCGGCTTCTCCCTAGATAGACGCCGATGTTGAAAACACAAATAGAAAATGGGATCTCCATCCCTCCTGTTCTCATCCTCTACCTATATTATAACCCCAGTATCAATAAGAGGGTAGACATTTTGGCATCAATGTTTAAATAGCCAGAGTCTGTCAGTCCATCAAGATAGATGCTCTTCTGTGTGGCCACGAGATCATTTGCTCCATTTGATGATGGAGGTTAAGATGCCGAGTGGGGCCTGTATAGTTTCTCCCATTTTCCACTCGACATGAATTCCATGACAAAGCGTGAGATGGCGAATGTGTAATACAGGGCCACTGGGAGGTCACTAGGTCACGGCA